CAGCAAGCACAGAAGGAAGGTGCCATCATTGTCCTCACATATGCTGGTTATTTGTCTGTTAGCTGTCAGCTTCATTGCTGACTTCCTACGTTCATCTTTATAATGCAGGGGGTGTGGAAGCCTGCAAACTACATGTCATAGGCTGTGATCAGCTGCCTTCTGGTTGGGCTCTGCCAGTGAAAAGCCTTGGGACAAGACTCAAATGCTGGAGGGAAGGAGAAGTTAGATTTTGCATTGTTTTGGTTTTGTTTTATCCCTGCTTTCACGGATGCCTCCCCCAGTGGTGACACATCAGTGGAAGTGCAACTTCTGGCCCCCTGCACAGCTTCAGGGACCATCTGATGGCAGTAACAGCAACTGCACCTCCAGAAGATCAGAAGCACATGCAGGCTGGGCTTCTGCCAAAGGCTGGTAAGAGCTCCCTGGCCTCTGAGTTTCTCCCTTCTCCCTTTTACTCTTCTACCTCTTCCAAAAGACTGTAACCAACTCCCTGTATTAAATCCCTCTCTGCTGGAAATACCTCCAGTGCAATCTACTTTCTTAACTGGGCACTGATGGGTACACCATTTAATGCACAAGGAGACCCAGGTACAGAGAGGTTAAGTAACTTGTCCCAAGGCAAACAGCTAGCAAGTAACATAAAGCACAGATAAAGAAAAAGAAAAAAAAACAAGGTATTGAATTAAGTCAAGGTTTCTTAAGCATGTCACGCAAAGCCCTTCATAATTATCTTCCTCTCTCCATCCATATTCTATGGTCTAGCTGGAAAGTGACGCCTAGCAGGAGATTGTGCTTGGTTGTTTTTGTTAATAAATGAAGGAACGAATGACAGATGTACCATACTTGTATAAAACCCCAGCAGGATATGTGACTGCAGTGCACATTGGATGAATCAGTGAATAAATAAATAATAAACAAATGAATAAACTCCAAGCACACAACAAATAGACCTGGGTAGCAATTCCCTGCCTCTGTGTTCCTCCCACCCTCAGACTCAGAGCCCTAATGCATCCAAGAGACTGAATGTTCACATCACTTATACAGAGTAAGCATGCAATAAATGCATATTTATTAAACAAATGAAGAGAAGAATCCATCAAAAATGCAATCAATCAAGTCATTACCGAATGATGTTTAAAATTCTAGCTTATTGAACCACAAAAATCTTCCAGAAAGAAGGCACAGAAGAAAACCTTTACATTTTCCTAAAAACAAAAACCTCTAATATAACAACCAGCAAACAATTAGACGTTAATGTCTCTAACCAAAAAAAAAAAAAAAAAAAAAGTAACCACAGTTAATCTCAGGGGATATCCTGTACGAAAAGGGAAAAAACAATGAGTCATGGATTCTAACCTCCTGTTTATAACTGGGGCCCACAAATGATCTGTTGCTGAAGGAGAAGAAAGCCATTAATCTCCCAACTCAGGGAGCAATTTTATATTTTGAATAAAAACAAACAGCATTAAGGAGGGAAATAAATCAGATATGCAGTAATTAGTTTGAAGGAGCCGGATTTTCCTGCCTAACACTCTCTTTGGAACTTCTGCCTTATCCATCAAAGCAAAAGTGTATCAGATGACATGGAGATTTTCCATTCCCTCTTCAGACAAAATTAGTCAGTTGATCTGAATAGTAATTTGACAGGACCCAGAAGGGAGAGCATGAGTGATGGGATTATAATAAATGCAGGAGAGGATGCTTAATAAACTTTGGTGAAGCCCTGGATCCTACACTTTTCCTCTCCTACCCTCTGTGTAACGCCTGGTTTATGAAATTGTTCCTTTTTTCTCTGTGAAATCTTAGGAGGCTTGGACTTTTTTAAAATAAAGAATCTAAAAAGGACCTTATTTGTTTTCTTACCCAGTATCCTTATTTTAAAGATTTAGAAAGTTCAGCCCAGAAACAATAATTTACTTGCTTAAGTTTCCACAACAAAATCAGCTGAAGCCCCAGGATCAAAATCCTGGCCATGTGCCTCCCAGCCCTTTGCCTCAAAGCTCAATAAAGACAAAAGCACAAATGAGATTGTGAAGTGGTTCCTTACTGAAGGGCAGTCTTGGGTCTCATGCATCACTTTCTGGGTAGGAGCTCCCTTGATATGGTTTGGCTTTGTATCCCCACCCAAATCTCATCTTGAATTGTAATCCCCATGTGTCAAGGGAGAGACCTGGATTGGATCATTGGGGTGGTTTCCCCTATGCTATTCTCATGATAGTGAGTGAGTTCTCATGAGATCTGATGGGTTTATAAGGAGCTCTTCCCCCTTCACTCACCTGTCTCTCTCACCTGCTGCCATGTAAGTCGTGCCTCTTCCCCTTTGCCATAACTGTAAGTTTCCTGAGGCCTCCCCAGCCATGGGAAAGTGTGAGTCAATTAAACTCCTTTCCTTTATAAAGTGCCCAGTCTCGGGTGGGTCTTTATGGCAGTGTGAAAACAGACTAATACACCCTTTGATGTGAAACCACAGAGGAAGGCTGCTCCTCCTTTTTCAGGCTTCCTCTGGCGTTTTCCCTCCAATTAGTCACTCTCTCCAGAGTCCTCTATCACTCATTTGCACCTTATTCTGAATTCTAATGATGAAGTTTTTTTCTCCCCATTATTTGGGAATGTTCTGCTAACAGTTGTTTTTTCAGGAACAGTTTGGTAACTGATTCATTTGAGGCATAGACATAATGAGTTTCTCCCGATATATCTATAAACCCTTGCATAGTTCCCTTTACTATTGTGAATGGAGCTCTGTGAGTAAGTTGTCCCTTTGCCTTTCATCTCCCACCATCCCATCTACCCCATGTGGGTCTATACATCTAAAGTTTAATAACCCTCCAGTGGAAAGAACAGGAAGACATCGAAAGATTAAAGATGCTCATCAATGCATTGGTTTCTAATAAAAGTACAATAATTCAAAAGCAGAATATAAATGTCCATCATTAATGAACAGCTAAGTAAATAATGATTCATTATTCATACAACAAAAACCTATGTAGCTATTAAAAATAATATAGAGAAGAATATGTATTAACATAAGATGTTCAGGGTACATTGACAACATGGTTAATATGAAGATGTTATCAGATAGTAGTTATTATATGATGTAACTTATTACAGAAAAATGCAACAGGTTTTTACTGGAAAAAAGTATGACATGATAGTCCCAAATATGTGATATAAATATGACTTTTTATTACATTTCATAATATAGTAAACATTCATTTTGTAAGAAAAACAACACAACGATGTTGTTTTTATTATTTTTAACAAAATATCCAAGCAGTCACTCTGCTTAATTAGACAAACAATGAAAGTAATTATGGGCAAGTGTTCTCTGTGACTGTAAATATTCAGAGGGGGCCTGGGTGGCCCCAAACTTGAGTCACCACTTTACTTTATTTTACCTCTTGTTTTTTTTTATTTATGAAGTTTCATTTGAACAGAAGTTTCTAAGGGCAGGTGCGTGTATGTGCTTCGTTCTGGTTTCTTTTTGAGTGAGTAGAATGGGTTCTTATCTGTGAATATTCGCTCTTTATGGACAACAGTAGGCATGTGAACAATTATTGAGAGTCTTTGATGTGTCAGATGTCATCCTAGGGCTGTATACAAAAGTTACCCTGTTTATTTGTCATCACAGCTCTAAGAAGCAGGTATGACTTCTGCTCATTTTGAAGCATAGGCATAAAGGCTTGCAAAGATGCAGGGACCTGCCCCAGCTCATGCAGGCAGGCAGTGGTGGGCTGAGAGTGGTGAGAACTAGTCCCATCTCCTCCTACCCACTGCAAGCAGGCTACCAGTTTGGCTGGGGGTTGTTGGTTGAAGTATATCCCCCATCACCTGCAACCGAATTCTTATACTGAAGCCCTAACTGTGCCCCACCTAGTATCTTAGAATGTAAATTTAATATAATATAACCTTATGTGGAGATAGGGTCTTTACAGACACAATCAAGCAACAATGGTTAATGAGTGGGCCCTAATCTAGCAGGTATACTTAAAAAGACTGGTAAATATAGATACTTAGTAAATATATATACTTACAGGGACTGGTGTCCTTGTAAGCAGAGGAAATTTGGACACAGATGCATCCAGAGGGAAGATGATGTGAAGATACAAGGAGGAGATAGCCATTGCAGACCAATGAAAGGAGCCTAGGAAAGATTTCTCCTTCTGTTAACTAAAGAAAAAAATGAAGCTTTTAAAGAATTAAAGGTAGCTTCATTCAGAAGCCTTACTGAGCACCACAGACTGAGGCCAATAGCCCAAGAGCAGCCCTTTAGAGAGGTCCTATCAGACTACCCTGAGACAGTATTTAAGCCAATGCCTGTATACAGGTGGTACAGGTGATGGAGGTTTAATATAGGCAAAATCACATCAAACTTGCCAAGAAGCTACATTAAAGCAGAGTTACATCAAGGTTGACCAGATGTACATCAGAGTACATCTGGTTACAGACTACAGAGGCATAATCACTAATTCCATCAGACGTTGTTTTATAAAGTGTAGGAAAAGGCAAAGGCTAGGGCTATTTATCTTTTAAGGAATGTAGTGACTCAGGCAAGAGATGGGGGGCCGTGTGCTCTATCCTGTTTTGTCTTCAAAGAATCCCCCCAGAGAGCTGCACTTTGTCCCAGCATCAGGGGCTTTGTGAAATTATGCTAGCAAGCAGAAGTGAGCAAATACAGCTTTTTGCATCTGCTACTTTGTCTTCTACTTCACAGCTCTCAAAGGAGCCAAGGCTGCAGATGCCTTGATTTTGGACCTCCAGGCTCCAGAACTGTGAGAAAAAAATTTTTGTTGTTTAAGCCATTCAGTTAATAGTCCACTGTTACGGCAGCCCTAACAAACCAATAAAGTGAGTTACCTGGTGATCACGTGAAACGTCAGCTATGATGACAGAAAGGTGCCCTTAAGAACACAAAACAACTGGGGTCTACTCTGTGGAAGCCGAAGGTTGCAAGGAGTGAAATTGCAGGAAAGGAAGAAATGACAGTAGAAGAGAGGCCCCAGGTGCTCGCTCTGGCAGCACATACGCTAAAATTGGAACAACACAGAGAAGATTAGCATGGCCCCTGTGCAAGGATGATACACAAGTTTGTGAAGCGTTCCCTATTTTTATAAGTTAAAAATTTTTGTTTAAAAGACAGGAGGTCCCAGGAAGCCCTGCTGCCTCTCTGCCCACCCTGCCCAGGCCAACTCTGCTACCAGGAAGAAATCCACAGGGCCAAATTATTCAGTCACGTGTACTGAGGCCAGAAATGCATTATTTAATTTTTTGCACCAGATGTACCTTTTTAACACTGTTTTGTTTCAGGCTAAAATTACAACATTAAAATTTAATATTCAAACGTGAGCATGAGCTTGCATTTCTTGAATGTCCACCCATCTTTTTCCTCCAGCATATGTGGAATGGCAACAGGGGAGGGGTGGGAAGAGGACAAGGCTGTGGCTGCTGGTCTTATCTCTGCATCTGAGTGGCTCTGTGGCCTTGACCACATTGCTCCACTCCTTTAGGGTTCAGGTCCCTCCTCTCTCAAATGATGGAAATAACCTGGGTGTTCTAGAAGTCTCCTGCAGCTCAAAGTATTCCCCAGTCTGTGTATTTCTGGAGACTGGAGGGAGCCAAGAAGTGATAGACAACAGATGCCTGAGCAGAACTGATACGTATCTGCACTTTTGCCATCATCAGAAGTTGGAGGGGTCTTGGAGAGAGCCATGAACATGAGCATCTCCAAGTGTTGATAGGTGTGTGGCCTCAGCAGGGTCCCTCCAGACTTTTAGGGAGACAAGCAAATATAAATTCTGAGTGGTTGTTCCTATCCTCTCTTGTAAAGGATAAAAGGTAAACATTACATTTATTATTATTACTATTATTATTTTGCGACTGATTCTCGCTCTGTCACCCAGGCTGGAGTGTAGTGGCAGGATCTTGGCTCACTGCAACCTCCGCCTCCCAGGTTCAAGCAATTCTCGTGCCTCAGTCTCCTGAATAGCTGGGATTACAGGTGTGTGCCACCACACCTAGCTAATTTTTATATTTTTAGTAGAGACAGGGTTTCACCATGTTGGCCAGGCTGGTGTCGAACTCCTGACCTCAAGTGATCCACCTGCCTCAGCCTCCCAAAGTGCTGGGATTAGAGGCATGAGCGACCGTGCCCAGCCTCATTACATGTATTCTAAAAATTAAAGATTTTCTGACTGCAAAGTCCTGGATTATTTAATGAAGCTTCTGTGACTGTAGATGTCTGACAGTATGTGTGTGCGTGTGTGTGTGTGTGTGTGTGTATGTCTATGTCACACATGCATGTGCCTCGGTTTCCCTGGTATCCCAAGAAGATTTTTAGTTTTTCTTTGGGGAAATTACACCTTGAAAAGCAGGTACTTCAGAACTCCTTCCCTTTCTGTACTCTGAAGTCCAGCTCTTAATTTCTACTGTTGGTGAGAGTGCAAGTCGATGTCACCTGACTTAGTACATGGGCGTTCTCTCTAGCCTCTCAGGTTGAAAGTCTCCCTGCTGTGGCTCGTATCCTCACTCTAATCTATGAAGGAGGAATTTTTTTTTTTTTTTTTTTTTTACTAGACGTTTACATGAAATTAGACAGAGTTAACTTATCTCTCTCCTGGCACCTTCTTGTGCAGGTCCACCAGTCAAATCCAGCAGACTGCAAAAATACTAAACTTTCTCCATTGAAGAGTCAGATAATGCCGGAAGAGTATCATGGCACAGCAATACTCCTCAGAGCAAACGTTGGCTTTTCAGCTAATTTAGAAGTTCCCTGGAAAATGCTTTTTAAGCCTTAGGGAAGAGAGACGGTCTTTTTCATATAACATAGCCAAACCAAGGGCGTGACATTCCATCACCGTCACCACACTCTATTGATTGGAAGTGATACACGGTTTCTGCCCACAATGAACAGAAGAGGTAACTCACTGCAGGTCACATTTAGGTGTGTCCACCACACCATTCTTCCCAACATTTTGTAAGACTTCTTGTACATGCCAGGTGTGGTAGCTCACCCTTACAATCTCAGCACTTTGGGAGGCCAAGGCAGGCACATCACTTGAGGTCACGAGTTTGAGACCAGCCTGGCCAACATGGTGAAACCTCATCTCTACTAAAAATACAAAAATTAGCCAGGCGTAGTGGTGCACACCTGTAATCCCAACTACTTGGGAGGCTGAGTCAGGAGAATCACTGGAACCCAGGAGGCAGAGGTTGCAGTGAACCAAGATCGCGTGACTGCACTCCAGCCTGGGCAACAGAGCAAGACCCTGTCTCAAAAAAAAAATATATAAGGAAGCTTAGTTGGCATGGTGGCGCACACCTGCAGTCAAGCTACCCAGGAGGCTGAGGCAGGAGGATTGCTTGAGTCCGGGAGTTCAAGGCTGCAGTGGGCTATGATTGTGCAGCTGTACTCCAGCCTGGGTGACAGAGCAAGATCCTGTCTCCAAAATAATAATAATAATAATAATAATAATAATAATAATAATAATAATTGAAAGAATAAAAAAAGATGGGGATAGAGATGAAACAAAATTGGCCATGAGCTGATAATTTTTGAAGCTTTGTGTTTAGTTATGCAGTGGATCACTGTGCTATTCAGCCTACTTTTAAATACATTTAATATTTGCATAATAAAAAATAACTGACAAGAAACAGTGATCAAGTTAGTAATAATCCTTAGCATATTTCAGCAATTCTACATGCCAGGCGCTATGCTAAGTGCCTCATTAACATCATCTCATTTGATTCTCACAACAGCCGTATCAGAAAGCATTAATAGTGCATTTATAAATAAAAAACCTGCTTCTCTGATAGGTTAAATGACTTGCCCAAGTATATCAAGAACCAGATGCTGTGTTCTCACTTATGAGTAAGAGCTAAACATCAAGTATGTATGGACGCAAAGAAGGGAACAACAGACACCGGGGCCTACTTGAGGGTGGGGGGTGCAAGGAGGGTGAGGATTGAAAAACTACCTATTGGGTACTCTACTTAGTACTCAGGAGATGAAATAATCTGTACCTCAAACCCCTCTGACATGAAATTTGTCTATATAATAAACCTGCACATGTACCCCTGAACCTAAAATAAAAGTTAAAAAAAAATATGCCTACAAACTCAAAACAAACAAACAAAGAACAGATGCTGAATCCAAGTCTCCTTTGATTTCAAAGCCCATATTCTTGTTTTGTTGTTGTTGTTGTTGTTGTTGTTGTTGTTTTTGAGACAGAGTCTCACTCTATTGCCCAGGATGGAGTGCAGTGGCATGATCTCGGCTTACTGAAACCTCCACCTCCTGGGTTGATTCTCCTGCCCCAGCCTGCCGAGTAGCTGGGATTACAGGCATGCACCACCACGCCTGGCTAATTTTTGTATTTTTAGTAGAGACAAGGTTTCACCATGTTGACCAGGCTGGTCTCGAACTCCTGACCTCAGGTGATCCACCCACCTCAGCCTCCCAAAGTGCTGGGATTACAAGCATGAGCCACCACACCCGGCCTCAAAGCCCATATTCTTAGTTACTATTTCAAGTTAAGTCAGCAAGTATAGGTTAAGTGCCTATATGAAGCACTGGGAAGGTGACAATCAGAAGATGTGATGTTTGGTCTCAAGGAAATCAAGGCCGAGAAAATATTTATCATTGCAATTCTGGCCCTGGATCAACCACTTACAAATGAGGAGAGGCAAATTATCTCAACACACTAGACCTCAGGTCTTTACCTGTTTGATGAGATCACAGAATCCATCCTACAAGTCACAGAGGACAGTAGGGAAGATCAAATGAAGTCATGTAAATAAAAGCCACGAGGAATAGTAAAGGGCTGTTTAAGTAAAAAGGACAAAATAAAACAACAGTAATGGCAATATTGTGGTTGAAGATAAAAAGCCTTTAGCCTACGTAGAAGATTTTTAGTGTTCTAAACCCAGCTGTCCTAAGCCTCGTGGTTTTTCCTTCATGAAAGCTCCTCAACAAATTCATGTATAGTGAGGCCAGCCCTAAGAGCACCCAGGGCAGTGACATTTCAGAGGCATTGTAGAGAAGCTCGGTCATCACATTGCAGTGTCTTCCTTTCCAGGACTGTGCTTAGCACACAGGAGAGCCACATATGGGGACCGGGAATTATTTCTGATGTAGCGATTGGGAAATTGTGACAATGTATACTAATGAGGTGACAAGAACAGATAGTGTCAGATGCACATTAATCTTTAGCCTGATGTCCTTCATGATATCCAACCTCCAGTTTCGTCTCCTGCCACAGTCATCCCCCACACGTACACTCTTGATACTGGTTTGACTCAAAATGCAGATTCCAGGACGCAGGCTATCTCACCACCTTCTTACTCACAATTCTCATACCAGAACCCCCTTCCTCCTCCCCTCGTCTGAATCTTATTTGTTTTTTGAGATTTAAGTCAGGTCCTTCTTAGGAAGATCTCCCTGATTCAGATCCAAGCTGAATGATGATAACCCTCCTTTGGCTTCCATAAAATCTTATAACTTCCAAACTGTGTTTTATTAATAGCTGTCTAGTTTAGCACTATGTCAAGAGCTATTGAGGGCAGGGCTGGGCACGGTGGCTCACAGCTGTTATCCTAGCACTTTGAGAGGCCAAGGTGGGAGGATTGTTTGAGGACACCTCAAGCCCACCCAACCTAGGCAAAAAAATGAGATCCAGTCTGTACAAAGAACAAAAGATTAGTTGGGCATGGTGACATGCACCTGTAGTCCCAGCTACTTGAGAGGCTGAGGCAGGAGGATTGCTTGACCCCAGGAGATCGAGGCTGCAGTGATCCATGATGGTGTCACTTCACTCCAGTCTGAGCAACAGAACAAGACCCCACCCCCCAAAAAAAGCTATTGAGGGTAGTAGCTTATTTTCATTGCTCTATCTCTAGTGCCTACAGAAGAGCAGAGCACACAGTAGGTACTTGATGTGATTACTTATTGAATAAAAGAATGGTATATCACAGAAAATAACCTACTTCCCCTTTTAAGGGTGATGGTTCTTTATCACTAAGGGTTCTTTGCTGAGTACTACATTGGTTGTGAGTGTGCAAATATGGAAACGACCGCCTCAGATTTACACTGTTCATCGTCATTAAGAGGAAAGA